CAAAATGGAAGATGAGAAATCAAAATTTTCCCAGCCAAGCGTGCACTTCCGGGCATTTCCATGGCAACCTAGGATCAGGGGATCCATATAAATAGGTTATTTTCACACAAAAGCCCTCATTTGGTTCACGCTAGCTATTTGTGCAACCAAGAACAGCCAGGGATGTCTTGTCCCTTTTCCATCCCCATCGCTTTACAGCTAAATTGCAGGAAATGTAGATTGCACAAACAGTTGAGTTGGCATGGCATGTTCAAAAGCAAGGGCAAAAATAGCCCCGGATCCTATTACTGTGTTGTTGTTGTTGTTGTTGTTGTTGTTGTTGTTGTTGTTGTTGTGTGACTTCTAGACATTCCTAACATATGGCAAACCTAAGAGGTTTTCTTGGCAAGAGAATCATAGAGTTTTCTTGGCAAGATTTGTTCAGCGGAGGTTTTGCCATTGCCTTCCCCTGAGGCTGAGAGAGTGCGATTTGCCCAAGGACGCACAGCGGGTTTTGTGGCCAAGCTGGGAATCGAACTCTGATCTCCAGAATCATAAGCCAACACTCAAACCACTGTGCCACGCTGGCTCTCCTGTTACTGTTGTTGTTGTTGTTGTGTGCCTTCAAGTTGTTTCTGACTTATGACAACCCTAAGGCCCATCATGGGGTTTTCTTGGCAGGATTTGTTCAGAGGTGGTTTGCCATTGCCTTCCTCTGAGGCTGAGAGCATGTGACTTGCCCAAGGTCACCCAGTGGGTTTCATGGCCAAGCTGGGAATCGAACCCTGGTCTCCAGAGTCAGAGTCCAACTATCAAACCACTATACCACGCTGGCTCTTCTGTTACTGTACTTAACCCTAAATAAAGCAGATCCATTGACCCATAATAATAAATTTTATTATTATTTGTTTTAAAAATTGACTAGTTTAATACTTTTTAAGGGGAGGGTGGGTTAGGGAATTGCTGTACTATGGATGTTTTTAATGTGTAAGCCGCCCCGATTGCACCTTTTTACCCCGAGGCGGGATAAAAATAAATTTTATTATTATTATTATTACCCAATTGTTGGAACAGTGAGTAAATGCATAGGTAAATCCCATTGACTTAATAGGTCAATTTTGGTTAGATTCAGGCGATAAAATGGAGGGCAACCTCTCTTCAGTGGCCAGTAACATCGTTTTTGGGTCTGTCTCCACAATACAATTACAGTTGGCCTCCTGCATCCACAGATCCAACCATCCATGGCTTGAAAATATATGTTTAAATATTAAATCCAAGAAGCAAGCCTTGAATTTTGCCATTTTATGTAAGGGACACCATTTTACTAGCCCACTGTGTATAATGGGACTTGGGCATCCTCAGAGTTTGGTATTCCTGGAACCAGACTCCAGCAGATACCAAGGATCCACAGTATAACACTTTGATACCACTTTGGCCACCCTGACTCCATCCTATGGACAATCCTGGGATTTGTGGTTTCATGAAGTCTCTGCCAGAGAGGATTAATGCTGTAGTTCAGGGGACTCTACTAGAGAAGTCAAAGCATCTCAAAGAAAATGAATGAATGAATGAATGAATGAATGAATGAATGAATCTCGCCAAACTATAAATCCCAGGCTTCCATAAGATGGTTCCATGACAATTAAAGGGGTTCACACTGCTGTAATTTTGTTCTGTGGATATCATTTAACTTGGCTTTGGCGTAGCAAAAGTCTCTCTTAATGGGAGACCACTCAAAATGATTCACGCCATAGTTTTTTAGGTGTGCAGCCCCCTAACACTTCCCTTCCCTATCAGTTGTGTTGGATTCTTAGTAGAATTAAGTGTGCTTAATTTGGACTTTTAAAACATACTCCCTACGGTGATTAGGAAGGTTTATTGCCTTAATTATACAATGGGGTAATGAACCAGTGGTGTTCGCTAGCATGCACACCTCCCCAGCGGCTAAGAATCAAACTACGCATTATGCAAGAAATTTGTAATGGATCTCCTCACTTGAACGGGGTTCTTAATTTGATCAAAATAATGGCTGGGGGGGGGAGTGCAGAAGAGAGACGGGGTTTAATATCTGCCTTACTGATTCCCTGATCAGAATTACCATTGGGGGAGAGCCAGTGGTGTGGCTTCGATTTACAAGTTTGCTGAGCTTCTATTTACAAGTATGCTGAAGGGGAAGGGTCAGCTACGGAATGCTATCAAACATCCGCAAGGCGGCAGGAAAGGCCGCAAGTGGGAGGGTTGCCAGATTGAAAACTGGAGACCACTTCTGTAACTTGAATGGTTATGCCGATGAGGGGATTCCAGCGGGAGTTGCTTGTCATGCAACATAGGCTGTTGTTGTTGTTGTTGTTGTTGTTGTTGTTGTTGTGTGCCTTCAAGTCATTTCCGACTTAATAGTGGCTTTAATGCAACCTATCACAGGATTTTCTTGGCATGCTTCTTCAGAGAGGGTTTGCCTTTTCCTTCCTCTGAGGCTGAGAGAGTGTGACCTGCCCAAGGTCACCCAGCAGGTTTTCATGGCAGAGCTGGGATTTAAATGGTCTCCTAAGTCATAGTCCCATTCTCAAACAATTACACCATGCTGGCTCTCGCAACGTAGGTAACAAGCTGAAAAGCTCTTCTCTGTTGTTGTTATATACTATCAAATGGACTTTGACATGGAGCTTTATCACACAGGGGAAATCCCATGCAGAAACGGGATTTAAAAGGTGAGGAAAACCTGCAAAAGCGGGTAGATTTTCACACACATCAATGTTAACATGTGCTTAACCCGAATGGAAAGTAGTCAAAAGCTGTTCCTTTTTACTTTCGGGATTTTCCAAAAGTAAAAAGATGCAGCTATTGACTATTTTCCATTCAAGTTAACAACAGTTTAACATCGTCTGAAAATCTACCTGCTTTTGCAGGTTTTTTCCTATTTAAAACTCCATTTCTGCACAGGATTCCCCCTGTGTGAGAAAGTCCTTAGAATGATCCTATGGCTGATAGACCCCCAGTTATCAATTACTCTGCTCAGGTCTTGCAAACTCAGGGATGTGACTTACTTTATCAAATCAATCCACCTGCTGTGCATTCTCCCTGTTTTCTACTGCCTTCCACTTTACCCAGCACTATCATCTTTTCCAGCATGTCACATTGTCTCTTGATATGTCCAAAGTACAACAGCCTCAGTTTAGACTTCTTTTGGCAGTCCATAGAACACTCTCCTCCAGCATCCAATTGAAGATACAGAAGCCATCTCCAGTTTTTACTTTTGCAACAGAGGAAGATGATAGATAGATAGATAGATAGATAGATAGATAGATAGATAGATAGATAGATAGATAGATAGATAGATCCATCCATCCATCCATCCATCCATCCATCCATCCATTTATTTTTACATCCAGAAGCTGGCACACTCTGACCCCAAAAGGTATTGGTACCTGACTCAATAGATATCCCCTGAACTGTTTCTCTTTCTCATTGCAGAAGGCCGTTGGTGGAAAGAAGGACCGCTCTCTTTTCCTCTTCACGGACCTCCTGGTTTGCACCACTTTGAAGCGCAAGTCAGGGTCTCTGCGACGAAGTTCCATGAGTCTGTAAGTGAACTGTTCCAAAACAAAATGATGGGGCACAGTGGGGACAGTTTGGGGATGCCATGACTTATCACCTCTCTTCTTCCTCACCTACAACCTGCCTTGCTCTTGCATGCACCTAATGATTACAGAGATGATACATTTACATGTATTTTTGCATTTTCCCCCACAACTACAGTTACCTCAAGTTACCAGATGGTAACCATAGGCTTTGGTGCATGCATGCTATGAATTGCCTTGTTAGATCAGACCAATATTCCAACAGCCTCCACTCAGCAATGGACAGCCAGGAATTCCAGGCATGGAGATTTGTAGTTGTGTGCTTTCAAGTCATTTCTGACATGGCAACCCTAGGGCAAACG